CACGAGTGTGTGTGTGTCCTTTCTTGGTGTGGCGAGCGCTGTCGATGTGTTCTCAGTGTCGTGTGTGGTATTTTCGGTTTCTTCGGTTCGTGTACTGTCTCTCTGTTCGTTTTCGGTCTCCAATGTAGGGGATGTTCTATGTGCTGCGTTGACTGTATATGTGGCGTAGTCGTCATCCGTTGAGTCCTCCGAGTATAAACTGGGGGAGGTGGCTCTGTCTACATGTGTAGTGGGAGGTCTTGTAGTCGCCGTCGTGTCTGAGGTGTGTCTAGACTGCCCAGTTGTGTCTTCCTTTTCGTTCGTTTTGTTCTTCTCGACAATTGTGTGTGTGCTAAGTTGTTCGTGGGTTGTTTTTGGCTGTTCGGTGGGGGCTTTTTGTTCGGCGGTCTGTTTGTTTTGTGGTGTTTCGATGTCCACCAAGAGGTCAGTGTTAAGTCTGCGTGCTGTTCTTTGTGGTAGTGGTTTTGTTGTGTGTATGATTGTAGGCGTAATGCCTGCTGGGGGTGCGAGTGGTGGGAATTCTTCGTCGAAAGACCAGTCGCCCCTGCTGGGAGGAGGGGCGGCTGGCGAAGTCTGTACATGTACGTGTTGTGCCCCTGATTTTGCCCTTGTCGCTGGCGGATCATCTTTACGTTTGTGTGTTCGTGCGTGCGTTTGATTTGTGTTTGGGGCTGGTGGATCTCCGTTTTCGGTGTCTCTCGATGTGTTGCGTTCGTTAGTTTCGGTAAGGAATGTTTCTATTTTTTCGAATGTTGTGGGTTGTATTTTATTTTGTAGGTTTTTGTTGGCCCATCTGGTCGCTATGTCGAGTGCGTGTGGCCAATCCGCTCTGTCGGTGTGCGCTATGAGCTCACGCTTCTTCTGTTGGATGAGGAGCTGGTAATGTTCTCGTAGGATAAGTTGTGTCGTGTACATCCAATTGCGTGCGTTGCCCGTCAATCTCTCGTTTACTCTTTCGTTGGGTAGTAATGGTTTAATCGTGGTGATCAGGTGTGTTTGCAGTCTTTTAAATGTGATGGGTGTGTCGCTTTCTTTTTGTACGTCAATGTTTTTTAATTGGTGTTCCAAGCGAAGGAGATCGTAAACCAGTTTAATCGTGTTTTTGAGCTTCGGTGTTGCGGGCGTATATGCAGATGGGGTAGGATCGCTCGGTTGTGTAAAATATCTCTGGGGTCTTGTTCGCGGTCCCTTTTGTGGCCGTTCTCTCTTGTTGTTTTGTTCGTTACGCCACCTTGGTGTATATTCTGTCCCGTTACCGTCCCTGGAGTAATGTTTGCGTTGAAGGGGACCGTCTGTGCGTGGAGTGTCATCGTGATAGTAAGTCGTTCTTTGTCTGTTTATGTTATGTGGAGTTTCGCGTCTCGTGAAGACCGGGCGAGGCGGTTGGGCGTTTCTGTTGTAGGGAACCCCCTGTGTGTCGTATTGAACGTTTCTGAATTGTCTTTGTCTCTGTGGGAAGTTTGTGTTTTTAGAGTGCGTGTTATTATTTCTGTATCTCCACGTATCGTTGTCTAATTCTACTCTATTTTCTTGTCTTTTGTATTGGGAATTTATAAATTGTCTTTCTCTGTATGGGAGTTCTGCGTTTTTGTAGTGATGTGTGTCACTTCTTGTGTATCTCCATGTGTCGTCGTCTTCACGTGTGATCAGTGCACGTGGTCTGATGTCTTGTCTAGGTTGGGTGTTGTTGTATTGTCTGTACTGATATGTGAAATTGTTGAAACGATGGTGCTCGTCTTGGGCCCCATCGTTTATCCATCTAGTATCTCTAGTAGTCCGGAAACGGACTGTTGGGTGGAAATCATTGTCATGAACACGGTGCGGGCCGGCGTGAACGTCCCACCGCAAGCGGTTGGTGTTCTCACTCCGTTGCTCGTGACTTTGATTTCGAGTACTTTGTTGTACTGCATTGTTCCTAGAAATATATTGGTGTGCTGTGTTAGTGGGATAATCCCAGATCCTAACTCGTTCTCTTGGAGTTAGTCTGGCTCTGTATTCATTAAAGTATCTGTACATCTTTTTTTGTTTTTTGAAAGCTTTGTAGTTTTCTATTTTTTTCTAAATATTTTTTCCTAATTCTATTTTCTAAATCTATAAGGAATTCCTAAAAATCGACGTTCAATGCGTAGCTACGTTTCGAAGTGTATATTTCTTCCTCAGGCTGTGTGCAAGAACGTCGGATTTGTATAGAAGATCAGTGTCTGTGAGTGTCCAAAGAGAGCAGCTTCACAAATGGTGAGCTGGTGAGTGTTCCCTCCCTATTTATAGTCCTGCTGTGAGGGAGAGGGGAGGGGGGAGTGGGGGAGTGGCTATGATCAGTGTGTGAGCTGGTTTGTTCAAATGGTGTTTTAATCGTATTTTAATGTGTATTTTTTGCTTTTAATATATTTAATCATCCTGTTGAAATAATTAAGCGTTTGTTTTGTTAGAAAAATTATTTGTTATGAGTATTTATTATCAAACTTATTTATTTGACTTCCTATGTGGTTTGGATGTTACTTCAAGTGTGTTTGTTCAAGTTGTTTTATAAGTAACTATTTAAGTCATATCTGCGTGGGTTTATTATTTTTATAAGTGTGTAAGGAGTAATTGTTGGTGTCCTTATGGAGTGTTTGTTATTTTGCTGAGTCATTTTGGGTCTAAAATGTTATGACAGGCTGTGTTATTCGAGATAAATTGTATTCCTCATTTTTAATCCTCTTATTAAATGAGTTGGATTATTTCTGTAAGATATAAATCAGTGTGTTGAATCGTCTTAAGCCTCAAATAATGTTAGCAATGTTATTAATTGTCAGATAATCCTGGTTTTTAAGTTGTGTTTGTATGGATTCCTTTGATCCTGCTTTAGATAAATGTTAGAAATGAATTGGCTGTGTTTGAAGTAGTTTTAAACGCGAGGGTGTGTGACGTCATCGTCGCGGTGCTTCCGCGATTTACTTCCTGTTTTGTTCGTGGCTCCGGTGACGTCATCATCTCGGCAAACTCCGTCTCTCTGCTTTGTTTTTCGAGCTGGAGTGATTGAATTAACTGGTATGCAGCCCTGTGAATTCCCCTGTTGATCCAGAGGTGTTGGGATAGGATGTTAGGTAAGTATTGTGTGTTTGTTTTGGATGTTAGTCTGAGAATCATGTAAAGTTGTGGATAAGTGTGCCCCTTTGTTTACAAATCGTCCTTTGAGTCTTTGTAACTAATGTTAGAGTGATGAGAGAGGAGGGGAGCTATTATGTATCAGATATTCTCTAAGTTTGTATCGAGTTTTCCTTTTTTGTATCATTATTCACTCCACTCTCTGTGGGGGATTTATATCTGTGTTGAGAGGATCTTGTATGTATGTATGAGTGTGTAGATATAGTCTGGGCTTACTTTTAATTAGGTTTTATGTGATGGGGACTGTATTAAGCATTAAAATTATGTTATTAGTTGTGTATTTACAGGACTGTGTCGTGGTGGAGAGTCGGATTTCGGGATTTCATCTCATCGGACCCAAAGTTCAGAGACGTGGCACGAGCTTGGTTAGGGGAACGAAAAATCCAAAGGCCAGACTGTGTCCGGCCTTGGTTGTGCATTGTCCTACATTTCAACTGACCGCTTCGGATTCCATTTCGACTTCCTCCTTCGTCCAGACCCTCCTCCACTCCTGTTTCTCATGTTGAATATCATGCTGTTTTATGTATTTTTTGTGAATAAATAAATAATTGTTTTATTTTTTGTTTTTTATTTTTTGATTACTTTGTTTATTTAATTTGTTTATTTGTTTAAAATTAGGTGTGTGTCTTTTATTTGTGTTTTTATTGTTTTATGTGTGCGTGTGTGTGCTTTTTTGTGTCCCTTCGTATATTTACTTTTGTGTTAAGATTCGAGTTAGGGTTTGTCGCGCCGTCCCCCGTGTTTGGGGTATGGTTCCTGTGATTTCAGGTCGTATTAAGAGGGGTTTTAGTGTCAGGGTTACTGACTTTAGGGTTAGGGTGAGTGTAGGGGTTGGGGTTGCATTTTAATTTTTGAAACTTAGGGTTAGTCGCGTAGTCCCCTGAGTCGCTGTGTTTTTAGGTATGATTCACGTAGTTCAGGGCTGCATAAAAATGAATTTTAATTTTAATGTTCAGAGCTGCATAAAAATGAATTTTAATTTTAATGTTAGGGTTACTGACCGTAGGGTTACTGACCGTAGGGTTCCTGGCCGTAGGGTTGGGGTGAGTGTTGGGGTTGCGTTTTGGTTTATGGGAATAGGGTTAGTGGTCGCGTCAGGGTTACCGTCTATGGGGTTGGGGTGAGTGTTGGTGTTGGGTTGTCGTAATCGAAAATTAGGGTTCATCCCGGAGCTCTCCGTGTTTTAGGTTTTGCTGTTTGTTTTTAGTTTTCATTTAGGCCCCTTGGATACACCGTGTCCAATCGCTTGATCCATATTCTTTCAAACCTTAACCTCTCCCGTAATGACCAAAAGGGGCTTGACTGTAAGGCGGTAACCCTGAGGGCTGAGAGTCCATGCATTACAAAATGCTTAACTAATAATTTGCGTTTTTCGATTTTGTTACGTATGTTGTATGTGTGTTGATATGTTCGTAATGAGAGTTGATTCTTAGTTTGTCCAACGTATTGTTTGTGGCATTTCGTACAATAAATTAAGTAGATGCAGTTGCATACCCCCGCCGATGTGTTGCGTTGTGTTTCGTAAATGTTTTTGTTTGTTTTGTTCTGGACCCACCGTCTCACCGTGTAGTGTTTGTGCGCTTCCGCTCTTGTCGGTTTTTGTTGTTGGCTGGTTTTGCTACTGACCAGTGTGTCTAGTAAGTTTTTGTTTCTCTTAAAGGCCGCGATTGGTCTGTGTTTCTGTATAAAACGTGTGGGTTCGATGAATTTGTTGAAGTTTTCTTTTGTTGCTCTATTAAGTTGTTTACTCTGTTGTGAGTAAAATGTGACGAGGGGGATTATTTTGTTGCGTGTGTTTGTTGTTGTTGTTGGGTTTGCGATAGATTGTTGAAATGTTTTGAAAATTTTCCGAAGGTATGTGCGTCCGTATCCCCGTTTTTTAAGTGCCTTAAAGAGGGTTTTAACTGCCATTTTAAAGTCTGTCTCTTGAGAAGATATTCTGTAAAATCTAAGGATTTGTGACTTGATTACTCCCCGAAATGTGTGCTTAGGGTGAAAGCTAGACTTGTGTAGTAGCGAGTGTGTGTCTGTGGGTTTGAAGTAAACTTTGTAGTCCAATTGGTTTTGTTTCTCAAATTTTGGTCCTTTGTATGTGACTACGTCCAAGAAGTTCACTTGTTGGTCGTTGATCTCAAACTTGATTGTGATGGAACTTTGATGATTGTTCAAGTGTGTTGTGAATCTTTGAAATTCCTCTCGGCCGTATGTCCATACTCCCCAAATATCGTCTAGGAATCTGTAATATGCGAATGGTTTTAAGGGAAAATTAGTTAGTGCGGAGTGCTCCCAAGCTGCCCTGAATATGTTTGCGTAAGAGGGTGCGAATTTTTTGCCCATGGCGGTGCCCTTTGTTTGCAGATAGAATTTCGAGTTAAATTCAAAGTCGTTTTTGGTGAGATTGATTTCTAATAGTTTGATTATATACTCATCGGGTCTTTTGGGGTCCGGAAAACGCTTGAAGCAATCTTGCACAGCCGATATTCCGGCCTGTGTTTCGATGTTTGTGTAGAGACTGTCTATGTCGATAGTAAAAAGGAGGGCGTCCGTGGGGATTGTTAGATTTTTGGTCTTTTGTATGAAATCGTATGTGTCTCGTAAATAACTGGCGTGTCGCTGTGAGATGGGGTTTAAAAAATATTCTATATATTCGGCTGTATAGTATGATTCGCTATCACAGTCCGATACTATTGGACGGCCTGGTGGTATCTTATGTGGCCTACTCCAGTCTTTCGGGTCTTTGTGAATTTTGGGCAGTAGATAAAATCTCCTTGGCCTGGGAGTGCCCGATCCCATTAAATAAGTTTTTTGGTCCCCGCTGATAATCTTTTTTTCGCACATTTCTTCAAGTATTTCTTTGATTTCTAGTCTCGTTTGGGGGTATATGGGTTCGTTCAAGGGGCTATAGTGTTCTTGTTTGTTAAGTTGTCGATGCCCCTCCCATAAATAGTCCGTTTTGTCCATGAGTACGACCGCGTTTCCTTTGTCCGCAGGTTTGATTACCAACTGGTGATTGCCGTGTAGGTTTTTAATAGCTATTCTTTCATTCTTTGTGAGATTTTCTTCTTCTGACCGGCCCCAATCGAGATGTTTGTACGCGTAATAGTCTGCTTTGATCAATGAGTTGATTTGCGGGGGTAAACTGGATAGTGCTGGAGTCCAATCGGAGTTGTGCGTGAATGGTAGTTTCTGTTTTTGTCTTTTTTTGCCCTCAAAGTATACTTCTAATTTTATTCGTCTGTGATAAGTCTGTAAGCTATGTAATAATTCGATCTTTTGTGTGGTTCTTTTAGTTGAGGGAATGAACGAAAGGCCTTTCCGTAATGTTTCCGTTTGATCTTGGGTTAGTATTACCGTCGATAAATTGACTATGCGTTTGTCTGAGTCCCCTGTTGGGATATTTGGCCTTCCAAGTCTAAAAAATACATCCAGTGTTCTAAAAGTGCTCGGGCCGTACCGGCGGTCCAGTGGATCATGTCGTTCTCTACCCTGAAATCCCTGGATGGTAATGCTGATACATGATGAAGATTGTCCCTGATGTATTTGTTCATGGCCGTGAGATGTGCTTTTTCTTCTTCTGGTAGTGTTTGGCTAAAGTTAATGAGTGGTACGATGATCTCCGTGTGTGGTAAGCGAGCGCGTGCTGTTTTGTATGTTCTGAGTATTTCCTTTTCTGTGGTTGAGATGCACCTTTGTGTACGATTATTGATACCGAACGAGAGCATCAGTACTTCGGGTTCCATTGCGATCGTTGCTTTTTCCACCAAATAACCGGCGTGTTGGAATTTGGCTCCCGGGAAGCTATCCACCTGGAGCTCTACTATATCAAAAGACGGGATCCTTGCTACGTTAGAGTCGCCGATTATCACACATCTCTTTTTTAGGTTGAGGCTCCAGTCTATGTGTTTTTTGTCTGTCTTGATGTGTTTGTAAGGTCTGCCCACCGATTTTGGTGTGGAGGGGGTCACGAGTGTGTGTGTGTCCTTTCTTGGTGTGGCGAGCGCTGTCGATGTGTTCTCAGTGTCGTGTGTGGTATTTTCGGTTTCTTCGGTTCGTGTACTGTCTCTCTGTTCGTTTTCGGTCTCCAATGTAGGGGATGTTCTATGTGCTGCGTTGACTGTATATGTGGCGTAGTCGTCATCCGTTGAGTCCTCCGAGTATAAACTGGGGGAGGTGGCTCTGTCTACATGTGTAGTGGGAGGTCTTGTAGTCGCCGTCGTGTCTGAGGTGTGTCTAGACTGCCCAGTTGTGTCTTCCTTTTCGTTCGTTTTGTTCTTCTCGACAATTGTGTGTGTGCTAAGTTGTTCGTGGGTTGTTTTTGGCTGTTCGGTGGGGGCTTTTTGTTCGGCGGTCTGTTTGTTTTGTGGTGTTTCGATGTCCACCAAGAGGTCAGTGTTAAGTCTGCGTGCTGTTCTTTGTGGTAGTGGTTTTGTTGTGTGTATGATTGTAGGCGTAATGCCTGCTGGGGGTGCGAGTGGTGGGAATTCTTCGTCGAAAGACCAGTCGCCCCTGCTGGGAGGAGGGGCGGCTGGCGAAGTCTGTACATGTACGTGTTGTGCCCCTGATTTTGCCCTTGTCGCTGGCGGATCATCTTTACGTTTGTGTGTTCGTGCGTGCGTTTGATTTGTGTTTGGGGCTGGTGGATCTCCGTTTTCGGTGTCTCTCGATGTGTTGCGTTCGTTAGTTTCGGTAAGGAATGTTTCTATTTTTTCGAATGTTGTGGGTTGTATTTTATTTTGTAGGTTTTTGTTGGCCCATCTGGTCGCTATGTCGAGTGCGTGTGGCCAATCCGCTCTGTCGGTGTGCGCTATGAGCTCACGCTTCTTCTGTTGGATGAGGAGCTGGTAATGTTCTCGTAGGATAAGTTGTGTCGTGTACATCCAATTGCGTGCGTTGCCCGTCAATCTCTCGTTTACTCTTTCGTTGGGTAGTAATGGTTTAATCGTGGTGATCAGGTGTGTTTGCAGTCTTTTAAATGTGATGGGTGTGTCGCTTTCTTTTTGTACGTCAATGTTTTTTAATTGGTGTTCCAAGCGAAGGAGATCGTAAACCAGTTTAATCGTGTTTTTGAGCTTCGGTGTTGCGGGCGTATATGCAGATGGGGTAGGATCGCTCGGTTGTGTAAAATATCTCTGGGGTCTTGTTCGCGGTCCCTTTTGTGGCCGTTCTCTCTTGTTGTTTTGTTCGTTACGCCACCTTGGTGTATATTCTGTCCCGTTACCGTCCCTGGAGTAATGTTTGCGTTGAAGGGGACCGTCTGTGCGTGGAGTGTCATCGTGATAGTAAGTCGTTCTTTGTCTGTTTATGTTATGTGGAGTTTCGCGTCTCGTGAAGACCGGGCGAGGCGGTTGGGCGTTTCTGTTGTAGGGAACCCCCTGTGTGTCGTATTGAACGTTTCTGAATTGTCTTTGTCTCTGTGGGAAGTTTGTGTTTTTAGAGTGCGTGTTATTATTATTTCTGTATCTCCACGTATCGTTGTCTAATTCTACTCTATTTTCTTGTCTTTTGTATTGGGAATTTATAAATTGTCTTTCTCTGTATGGGAGTTCTGCGTTTTTGTAGTGATGTGTGTCACTTCTTGTGTATCTCCATGTGTCGTCGTCTTCACGTGTGATCAGTGCACGTGGTCTGATGTCTTGTCTAGGTTGGGTGTTGTTGTATTGTCTGTACTGATATGTGAAATTGTTGAAACGATGGTGCTCGTCTTGGGCCCCATCGTTTATCCATCTAGTATCTCTAGTAGTCCGGAAACGGACTGTTGGGTGGAAATCATTGTCATGAACACGGTGCGGGCCGGCGTGAACGTCCCACCGCAAGCGGTTGGTGTTCTCACTCCGTTGCTCGTGACTTTGATTTCGAGTACTTTGTTGTACTGCATTGTTCCTAGAAATATATTGGTGTGCTGTGTTAGTGGGATAATCCCAGATCCTAACTCGTTCTCTTGGAGTTAGTCTGGCTCTGTATTCATTAAAGTATCTGTACATCTTTTTTTGTTTTTTGAAAGCTTTGTAGTTTTCTATTTTTTTCTAAATATTTTTTCCTAATTCTATTTTCTAAATCTATAAGGAATTCCTAAAAATCGACGTTCAATGCGTAGCTACGTTTCGAAGTGTATATTTCTTCCTCAGGCTGTGTGCAAGAACGTCGGATTTGTATAGAAGATCAGTGTCTGTGAGTGTCCAAAGAGAGCAGCTTCACAAATGGTGAGCTGGTGAGTGTTCCCTCCCTATTTATAGTCCTGCTGTGAGGGAGAGGGGAGGGGGGAGTGGGGGAGTGGCTATGATCAGTGTGTGAGCTGGTTTGTTCAAATGGTGTTTTAATCGTATTTTAATGTGTATTTTTTGCTTTTAATATATTTAATCATCCTGTTGAAATAATTAAGCGTTTGTTTTGTTAGAAAAATTATTTGTTATGAGTATTTATTATCAAACTTATTTATTTGACTTCCTATGTGGTTTGGATGTTACTTCAAGTGTGTTTGTTCAAGTTGTTTTATAAGTAACTATTTAAGTCATATCTGCGTGGGTTTATTATTTTTATAAGTGTGTAAGGAGTAATTGTTGGTGTCCTTATGGAGTGTTTGTTATTTTGCTGAGTCATTTTGGGTCTAAAATGTTATGACAGGCTGTGTTATTCGAGATAAATTGTATTCCTCATTTTTAATCCTCTTATTAAATGAGTTGGATTATTTCTGTAAGATATAAATCAGTGTGTTGAATCGTCTTAAGCCTCAAATAATGTTAGCAATGTTATTAATTGTCAGATAATCCTGGTTTTTAAGTTGTGTTTGTATGGATTCCTTTGATCCTGCTTTAGATAAATGTTAGAAATGAATTGGCTGTGTTTGAAGTAGTTTTAAACGCGAGGGTGTGTGACGTCATCGTCGCGGTGCTTCCGCGATTTACTTCCTGTTTTGTTCGTGGCTCCGGTGACGTCATCATCTCGGCAAACTCCGTCTCTCTGCTTTGTTTTTCGAGCTGGAGTGATTGAATTAACTGGTATGCAGCCCTGTGAATTCCCCTGTTGATCCAGAGGTGTTGGGATAGGATGTTAGGTAAGTATTGTGTGTTTGTTTTGGATGTTAGTCTGAGAATCATGTAAAGTTGTGGATAAGTGTGCCCCTTTGTTTACAAATCGTCCTTTGAGTCTTTGTAACTAATGTTAGAGTGATGAGAGAGGAGGGGAGCTATTATGTATCAGATATTCTCTAAGTTTGTATCGAGTTTTCCTTTTTTGTATCATTATTCACTCCACTCTCTGTGGGGGATTTATATCTGTGTTGAGAGGATCTTGTATGTATGTATGAGTGTGTAGATATAGTCTGGGCTTACTTTTAATTAGGTTTTATGTGATGGGGACTGTATTAAGCATTAAAATTATGTTATTAGTTGTGTATTTACAGGACTGTGTCGTGGTGGAGAGTCGGATTTCGGGATTTCATCTCATCGGACCCAAAGTTCAGAGACGTGGCACGAGCTTGGTTAGGGGAACGAAAAATCCAAAGGCCAGACTGTGTCCGGCCTTGGTTGTGCATTGTCCTACATTTCAACTGACCGCTTCGGATTCCATTTCGACTTCCTCCTTCGTCCAGACCCTCCTCCACTCCTGTTTCTCATTGTTGAATATCATGCTGTTTTATGTATTTTTTGTGAATAAATAAATAATTGTTTTATTTTTTGTTTTTTATTTTTTGATTACTTTGTTTATTTAATTTGTTTATTTGTTTAAAATTAGGTTGTGTCTTTTATTTGTGTTTTTATTGTTTTATGTGTGCGTGTGTGTGCTTTTTTGTGTCCCTTCGTATATTTACTTTTGTGTTAAGATTCGAGTTAGGGTTTGTCGCGCCGTCCCCCGTGTTTGGGGTATGGTTCCTGTGATTTCAGGTCGTATTAAGAGGGGTTTTAGTGTCAGGGTTACTGACTTTAGGGTTAGGGTGAGTGTAGGGGTTGGGGTTGCATTTTAATTTTTGAAACTTAGGGTTAGTCGCGTAGTCCCCTGAGTCGCTGTGTTTTTAGGTATGATTCACGTAGTTCAGGGCTGCATAAAAATGAATTTTAATTTTAATGTTCAGAGCTGCATAAAAATGAATTTTAATTTTAATGTTAGGGTTACTGACCGTAGGGTTACTGACCGTAGGGTTCCTGGCCGTAGGGTTGGGGTGAGTGTTGGGGTTGCGTTTTGGTTTATGGGAATAGGGTTAGTGGTCGCGTCAGGGTTACCGTCTATGGGGTTGGGGTGAGTGTTGGTGTTGGGTTGTCGTAATCGAAAATTAGGGTTCATCCCGGAGCTCTCCGTGTTTTAGGTTTTGCTGTTTGTTTTTAGTTTTCATTTAGGCCCCTTGGATACACCGTGTCCAATCGCTTGATCCATATTCTTCAAAACCTTAACCTCTTCCCGTAATGACCAAAAGGGGCTTGACTGTAAGGCGGTAACCCTGAGGGCTGAGAGTCCATGCATTACAAAATGCTTAACTAATAATTTGCGTTTTTCGATTTTGTTACGTATGTTGTATGTGTGTTGATATGTTCGTAATGAGAGTTGATTCTTAGTTTGTCCAACGTATTGTTTGTGGCATTTCGTACAATAAATTAAGTAGATGCAGTTGCATACCCCCGCCGATGTGTTGCGTTGTGTTTCGTAAATGTTTTTGTTTGTTTTGTTCTGGACCCACCGTCTCACCGTGTAGTGTTTGTGCGCTTCCGCTCTTGTCGGTTTTTGTTGTTGGCTGGTTTTGCTACTGACCAGTGTGTCTAGTAAGTTTTTGTTTCTCTTAAAGGCCGCGATTGGTCTGTGTTTCTGTATAAAACGTGTGGGTTCGATGAATTTGTTGAAGTTTTCTTTTGTTGCTCTATTAAGTTGTTTACTCTGTTGTGAGTAAAATGTGACGAGGGGGATTATTTTGTTGCGTGTGTTTGTTGTTGTTGTTGGGTTTGCGATAGATTGTTGAAATGTTTTGAAAATTTTCCGAAGGTATGTGCGTCCGTATCCCCGTTTTTTAAGTGCCTTAAAGAGGGTTTTAACTGCCATTTTAAAGTCTGTCTCTTGAGAAGATATTCTGTAAAATCTAAGGATTTGTGACTTGATTACTCCCCGAAATGTGTGCTTAGGGTGAAAGCTAGACTTGTGTAGTAGCGAGTGTGTGTCTGTGGGTTTGAAGTAAACTTTGAGTCCAATTGGTTTTGTTTCTCAAATTTTGGTCCTTTGTATGTGACTACGTCCAAGAAGTTCACTTGTTGGTCGTTGATCTCAAACTTGATTGTGATGGAACTTTGATGATTGTTCAAGTGTGTTGTGAATCTTTGAAATTCCTCTCTGCCGTATGTCCATACTCCCCAAATATCGTCTAGGAATCTGTAATATGCGAATGGTTTTAAGGGAAAATTAGTTAGTGCGGAGTGCTCCCAAGCTGCCATGAATATGTTTGCGTAAGAGGGTGCGAATTTTTTGCCCATGGCGGTGCCCTTTGTTTGCAGATAGAATTCCGAGTTAAATTCAAAGTCGTTTTTGGTGAGATTGATTTCTAATAGTTGGATTATATACTCATCGGGTCTATTGGGGTCCGGAAAACGCTTGAAGCAATCTTGCACAGCCGATATTCCGGCCTGTGTTTCGATGTTTGTGTAGAGACTGTCTATGTCGATAGTAAAAAGGAGGGCGTCCGTGGGGATTGTTAGATTTTTGGTCTTTTGTATGAAATCGTATGTGTCTCGTAAATAACTGGCGTGTCGCTGTGAGATGGGGTTTAAAAAATTTCTATATATTCGGCTGTATAGTATGATTCGCTATCACAGTCCGATACTATTGGACGGCCTGGTGGTATCTTATGTGGCCTACTCCAGTCTTTCGGGTCTTTGTGAATTTTGGGCAGTAGATAAAATCTCCTTGGCCTGGGAGTGCCCGATCCCATTAAATAAGTTTTTTGGTCCCCGCTGATAATCTTTTTTTCGCACATTTCTTCAAGTATTTCTTTGATTTCTAGTCTCGTTTGGGGGTATATGGGTTCGTTCAAGGGGCTATAGTGTTCTTGTTTGTTAAGTTGTCGATGCCCCTCCCATAAATAGTCCGTTTTGTCATGAGTACGACCGCGTTTCCTTTGTCCGCAGGTTTGATTACCAACTGGTGATTGCCGTGTAGGTTTTTAATAGCTATTCTTTCATTCTTTGTGAGATTTTCTTCTTCTGACCGGCCCCAATCGAGATGTTTGTACGCGTAATAGTCTGCTTTGATCAATGAGTTGATTTGCGGGGGTAAACTGGATAGTGCTGGAGTCCAATCGGAGTTGTGCGTGAATGGTAGTTTCTGTTTTTGTCTTTTTTTGCCCTCAAAGTATACTTCTAATTTTATTCGTCTGTGATAAGTCTGTAAGCTATGTAATAATTCGATCTTTTGTGTGGTTCTTTTAGTTGAGGGAATGAACGAAAGGCCTTTCCGTAATGTTCCGTTTGATCTGGGGTTAGTATTACCGTCGATAAATTGACTATGCGTTTGTCTGAGTCCCCCTGTTGGGATATTTGGCCTTCCAAGTCTAAAAAATACATCCAGTGTTCTAAAAGTGCTCGGGCCGTACCGGCGGTCCAGTGGATCATGTCGTTCTCTACCCTGAAATCCCTGGATGGTAATGCTGATACATGATGAAGATTGTCCCTGATGTATTTGTTCATGGCCGTGAGATGTGCTTTTTCTTCTTCTGGTAGTGTTTGGCTAAAGTTAATGAGTGGTACGATGATCTCCGTGTGTGGTAAGCGAGCGCGTGCTGTTTTGTATGTTCTGAGTATTTCCTTTTCTGTGGTTGAGATGCACCTTTGTGTACGATTATTGATACCGAACGAGAGCATCAGTACTTCGGGTTCCATTGCGATCGTTGCTTTTTCCACCAAATAACCGGCGTGTTGGAATTTGGCTCCCGGGAAGCTATCCACCTGGAGCTCTACTATATCAAAAGACGGGATCCTTGCTACGTTAGAGTCGCCGATTATCACACATCTCTTTTTTAGGTTGAGGCTCCAGTCTATGTGTTTTTTGTCTGTCTTGATGTGTTTGTAAGGTCTGCCCACCGATTTTGGTGTGGAGGGGGTCACGAGTGTGTGTGTGTCCTTTCTTGGTGTGGCGAGCGCTGTCGATGTGTTCTCAGTGTCGTGTGTGGTATTTTCGGTTTCTTCGGTTCGTGTACTGTCTCTCTGTTCGTTTTCGGTCTCCAATGTAGGGGATGTTCTATGTGCTGCGTTGACTGTATATGTGGCGTAGTCGTCATCCGTTGAGTCCTCCGAGTATAAACTGGGGGAGGTGGCTCTGTCTACATGTGTAGTGGGAGGTCTTGTAGTCGCCGTCGTGTCTGAGGTGTGTCTAGACTGCCCAGTTGTGTCTTCCTTTTCGTTCGTTTTGTTCTTCTCGACAATTGTGTGTGTGCTAAGTTGTTCGTGGGTTGTTTTTGGCTGTTCGGTGGGGGCTTTTTGTTCGGCGGTCTGTTTGTTTTGTGGTGTTTCGATGTCCACCAAGAGGTCAGTGTTAAGTCTGCGTGCTGTTCTTTGTGGTAGTGGTTTTGTTGTGTGTATGATTGTAGGCGTAATGCCTGCTGGGGGTGCGAGTGGTGGGAATTCTTCGTCGAAAGACCAGTCGCCCCTGCTGGGAGGAGGGGCGGCTGGCGAAGTCTGTACATGTACGTGTTGTGCCCCTGATTTTGCCCTTGTCGCTGGCGGATCATCTTTACGTTTGTGTGTTCGTGCGTGCGTTTGATTTGTGTTTGGGGCTGGTGGATCTCCGTTTTCGGTGTCTCTCGATGTGTTGCGTTCGTTAGTTTCGGTAAGGAATGTTTCTATTTTTTCGAATGTTGTGGGTTGTATTTTATTTTGTAGGTTTTTGTTGGCCCATCTGGTCGCTATGTCGAGTGCGTGTGGCCAATCCGCTCTGTCGGTGTGCGCTATGAGCTCACGCTTCTTCTGTTGGATGAGGAGCTGGTAATGTTCTCGTAGGATAAGTTGTGTCGTGTACATCCAATTGCGTGCGTTGCCCGTCAATCTCTCGTTTACTCTTTCGTTGGGTAGTAATGGTTTAATCGTGGTGATCAGGTGTGTTTGCAGTCTTTTAAATGTGATGGGTGTGTCGCTTTCTTTTTGTACGTCAATGTTTTTTAATTGGTGTTCCAAGCGAAGGAGATCGTAAACCAGTTTAATCGTGTTTTTGAGCTTCGGTGTTGCGGGCGTATATGCAGATGGGGTAGGATCGCTCGGTTGTGTAAAATATCTCTGGGGTCTGTTTCGCGGTCCCTTTTGTGGCCCGTTCTCTCTTGTTGTTTTGTTCGTTACGCCACCTTGGTGTATATTCTGTCCCGTTACCGTCCCTGGAGTAATGTTTGCGTTGAAGGGGACCGTCTGTGCGTGGAGTGTCATCGTGATAGTAAGTCGTTCTTTGTCTGTTTATGTTATGTGGAGTTTCGCGTCTCGTGAAGACCGGGCGAGGCGGTTGGGCGTTTCTGTTGTAGGGAACCCCCTGTGTGTCGTATTGAACGTTTCTGAATTGTCTTTGTCTCTGTGGGAAGTTTGTGTTTTTAGAGTGCGTGTTATTATTTCTGTATCTCCACGTATCGTTGTCTAATTCTACTCTATTTTCTTGTCTTTTGTATTGGGAATTTATAAATTGTCTTTCTCTGTATGGGAGTTCTGCGTTTTTGTAGTGATGTGTGTCACTTCTTGTGTATCTCCATGTGTCGTCGTCTTCACGTGTGATCAGTGCACGTGGTCTGATGTCTTGTCTAGGTTGGGTGTTGTTGTATTGTCTGTACTGATATGTGAAATTGTTGAAACGATGGTGCTCGTCTTGGGCCCCATCGTTTATCCATCTAGTATCTCTAGTAGTCCGGAAACGGACTGTTGGGTGGAAATCATTGTCATGAACACGGTGCGGGCCGGCGTGAACGTCCCACCGCAAGCGGTTGGTGTTCTCACTCCGTTGCTCGTGACTTTGATTTCGAGTACTTTGTTGTACTGCATTGTTC